TCTGTCTCATCACTCATACTGGATTATGGGTCAACAATTCGAGGTTGCGTGCGAACTCACGCACGTCGAACAGTAGAGAAAGATGCATTGAAGCAAAAAAAAAGGATGTGGTTCTAGTACCGGCGCATTGAAGTTGATTCACACGAGGGCGGAGTGGATGGCGCGTTGAATGTGAGTCACAACCCTGGTGGCGGCGGCGAGTTCCGGCGGGCTGAGTCGAGTGAATGGCAGAGCCAGGAATGAAGAGATGCCGGGCCAGAAACAAATAAATTCAGTAACATGGGAAAATGTGGTCACTTGTAGCTACTCAAAAACACATCATAACATTCCCTAGTTCTACAACATGAAATAAAATTGACACAAAAACGAATCAATTTGAGTACATACACTGATCAAATCCATCAATTATTTTCAGTTCAGTTCCACTAGTTCAATACAACGTTCAAATGCAGAGGAAAGACAGGGGCTAATCAAATGCATCAATGTGGCAGAAAAATTAACCAGTCGTGGGCGCAGCAGAGAGGCGGCAGCACAACGGCACGGCGAGTCGGCGACAGGCGACAGCCACAGCACACTCCGGGGCTCTGCCGCTCTGCGCTGCGGCTGTGCAGCACGGCGAGCCGGCCGCTGGCCGGGGCGGAGCCTTGAAAGGCAACTCGGCTCGGCAGTAGGGGGTCGGGGCGGAGCAGCCAGTCAGCAGGCGCAGGAGGGCGGGGGCCGCGGGGGAAGGCCGGGAGAGATGGAGACCGGAGGGTGGGTGACGGCGGCGCCGGCGCCAGCGTGTGTTCTGGACACAGCATACGTGTGGTTCGGGTCTTTTTTTTGCTTGGGATGGGCTGTGCTGGGCTCAAATCAAACTGGCCCCGGGCCTGGAGAACTCCTTGGCTGTGCTGAACTCTATTTGGCGCAGCATGCGCCGGGTTGCCGACGCCCGCGCACACCCCGCTGCACTCGCGCGCCCATTTGGCCGGCCCATGAGCGTCTTTTTTCGTTTTTCTTTTTTATTCCATTTTTCTTGCTCAAATAATTCGAGGTTTCAACTAAGTTCCAAAATTAAAAAAAAATCAAAGAAATATTGAAAAAGTTCGTACAGCCAAAAAAATGTCCTTGAATTCGAATAATGTTCACGAATTTGAAAAAAAAGTTCATGAATTTTAAAATTAATAACACAATTATTAGATGAACAAATTTTGAACTTGATGACATTTTCAAAATTTGAGGATAAATTCTCAATTCAAGAACATTTTTTGAAAATGGATGACTTTTTTTATAAATTATGTTGAATTTTTTTAATTTCAAAAACGTTTTTGAATTAGATGAACATTTTTTATTTTTTTGAACTTAATGAACAAATTCTCAATTCAAGAACATTTCTTTGAAATCGGTTGAACTTATTAAAAAATGGATGAACATTTTTTGAATTTGATGAACATTTTCTAAAATTATGGTGAACAATTTTTGAATTTCATCATGACATTTTTTGAATTGGATGAACATATTTTTATATCGATGAACAAAAATATTCATGATTTAAATAAAAGTTCATGAAAATGAGAGAAAGACAGAAAAAGAAAAAGGAAAAGAAAATAATAATTGAAAAATGTTAAAACAAAAAGGAAAGCAAAAAAGGAGAAAAAATGAAAAGGGAGAATAAAACCCAAAACCAAACATGATCTACTTCGGCCGACCCACTTATG